CCTAACGTAAACTCCCAAACCGCCTAACGTAAACTCCCAAACCGCCTAACGTAAACTCCCAAACCGCCTAACGTAAACTCCCAAACCGCCTAACGTAAACTCCCAAACCGCCTAACGTAAACTCCCAAACCGCCTAACGTAAACTCCCAAACCGCCTAACGTAAACTCCCAAACCGCCTAACGTAAACTCCCAAACCGCCTAACGTAAACTCCCAAACCGCCTAACGTAAACTCCCAAACCGCCTAACGTAAACTCCCAAACCGCCTAACGTAAACTCCCAAACCGCCTAACGTAAACTCCCAAACCGCCTAACGTAAACTCCCAAACCGCCTAACGTAAACTCCCACACCGCCTAACGTAAACTCCCAAACCGCCTAACGTAAACTCCCAAACCGCCTAACGTAAACTCCCAAACCGCCTAACGTAAACTCCCAAACCGCCTTACGTAAACTCCCACAACGCCTAACGTAAATTCCCAAACTGCCTAACGTAAACTCCCACACCGCCTAACGTAAACTCCCAAACCTCCTAACGTAAACTCCCAAACCGCCTAACGTAAACTCCCAAACCACCTAACGTAAACTCCCACACCGCCTAACGTAAACTCCCAAACCGCCTAACGTAAACTCCCAAACCGCCTAACGTAAACTCCCACACCGCCCAATGTAAACTCCCCTCCGTCCCTCTAGTCTCTCACGTAACCTACATACACGATCCATGTCTGCCTTGCTCCGTTAACTCCAAAGGAATCAAAAACCATAGTTTTCTGTATTAAGTAAATTTCAAACCAATTAACAATCATAGATGTGTTAGTTAATTGGCCTTTCGGTTAGCGTTATGGTAGCTCCGTAGCCCGCTCTGATGTAGCGGAGGTTTCATTAGCATTAGCCCTTGTAATAAGATCTGTTTAGTACAGGGAGGGCGAGGGAGTAACACAGAAACGCTCAATTGTGATGCTACTTAACATATTAGCGAGGAAATCAGGAAATTGCTAACTGACGCTGCATCAAAATCTTCAATTTACATGCGGAATGCAAAACGGAATTTCCTCATATCGTGCAAAGAGTGTTTATATTGATTGATTGCAGCTGAAAACTTGATCATGAACATTACGATTTTCCTACCAGGTCAGCACAATATGTATATTGATGACGTCGGATATTGAAAGAGCTCTGGACATCGGTTCGACTATATCCTTGCCGAATACATGTTACTGATACCGGCGTATCGTCTGATTGTCATGTTAATGTTAATATCGCTAACGTTATAAAGAACAAGGTTTTTGTTTATCTATTGAACTCGATTTAATTGTGTCGATCTATAATACTATTTTATATGGATGACATGTTCCAGCAATATTTTACATAGAAGCATGGATGTTTTATCTTTTATTTGCCGTGCATGTCATTTATACAAATTGTACATGAAACGATAATCGATTCGATGTTGTCGTTAAAGTCGCCTCCCATCTTTACATTACACATAAGTAAAAAGGGAGAGGGTCCCCGAAATAAAGCGACGGTCTATCGGAAGGCATCATCTGACCATCTATTTTAAAGTGATACTAGACGTGTCATCATGAAAACTGACGCCATTTTGTACACGAACGTCATTATGTACACTAACGTCATTATGTACATTTACGTCATTATGTATACTAATGTCCTAATGTAAACTAACGTCATTATGTATACTAATGTCCTTATGTACACTAACGTCATTATGTATACTAATGTCCTTATGTACACTAACGTCATTATGTACACTAA